TGCAAGATACAGGGACATATTATGTGTATATATTTTGTGTGTATATGTGCGGTATGGGGACATATTGTATGTTTATGTGAGTAAGGGGGACATATTGTGTATGTATAAGTTACAGGGACATATTGTGTGTAGGTATAAGTTACGGGGACATATTGTGTGTATGTATAAGTTACAGGGACATATTGTGTGTATATGTGTATTACAGGGACATATTGTGTGTATGTTTAAGTTACAGGGACATATTGTGTGTATATGTGTATTACAGGGGCATATTGTGTGTACGTTTAAGTTATGGGGACATATTGTGTTTATATTACATTACAGGGACATATTGTGTGTTTATGTGAGTAAGGGGGACATATTGTGTGTTTATGTGAGTAAGGGTGTATGTATAAGTTACAGGGACATATTGTGTGTATATGTGTATTACAGGGACATAGTGTGTATCCTGCATTATAGGGACAAATTGTGTGTACGTGTAAGTTACGGGGACATATTGTGTGCAAGAGTGTGTTTTATGGGGACATATTATGTGTATGTGTATTACATGGACATATTGTGTGTTTGTACATCTGTGTTACAGGGACATTTTTGGACCCATTTCTGTGTTTTTAAATGTAATGTTTCGTTCCTGATTGTTTTGTAAATTTGCGTGAACTGAGAACTGAGCCTTACTTTTTTTTTTTTAGTTTTTTTTTTTTTTAAACCAAGTTAAAATTTCTAATGGACAGCACATGAAGCTAACACGCTAGCTGATAGCAAACTTTAACCTTACTTTAAAGAAGCAGTTCAACATGTTGTTAAATTGTCTTATTATCTTTCTCTTTGAGAGTGAGAAGAAGTTTAGATGTTTACCAGTCTCATGTCTGGGCGTCAGGATGTGGTTAGCCTTGCTTAGCATAAAAAATGGAAGTAGGGGAAAACAGCTAGCCTGTGTCTCTGTTGGTGTTACACCAGATTTTCTTGACCAGAATAGGCAGCTGTAATTCCACTGTGAATAATTTTATCATATTTGACCACATAGTTTTTTGTTGTTTGTTGAAAAAGTAAAACACATCTTATCCCAATTTAGGAATCATTCCAAGGTTGTTAGCACTAATGCTAACCTTGTAGCCACAACAGATAAAGATTTAGATGAAATTAGATTAAATATTTGAAGCAGTTAATGACCAAGTGAAACCAAAAAACTGCAAGGCTCCTATAAAATTTGCAAAATTGTATTTGTGTTAACATCACATTTTATTTTAACGTGACTGCCAACTGTTTGTTGACATGTCTGTAGTTCTGTTCCCCGACTGGGGATATTGATTCCTGACAACTGCAACTTGGAATTATAAGTCGATGTGCAAGTAATTGTAATTAGTTTCTTTTTTGTTTTGTTTTTTTTAAACCCATCATCGTCACTCTTTATACTAAGCTAGGCTAATTCCATCCCAACTCCAGTTTATGTACTTAACACATAACCAATTGTCAAAATGTTGAACTGTTCCTTTAAGAGTGCAAGAGGATAATTTTCAGTTCAAAAATACATTTTTTGACCCCCACCCCTCCCCCAACAATGTGACGGATAAACTCCGACATCAGACCGAGAAGAAGAAACAGTCACACAAATTGAAACCCTCGGAATGAAATAACTCGCTAACACAAAAACAATCTTTTACAACTTGAATTCGCTGCTGCTGGGTTTAAACAAAGGTCCGAAATTTAACAGTAAAGTTGCCACGATTATAAACCACGACAATCCATCACAGTCAGCGTTTAGACGTCTTTACTCTTTAGTCAAACTTCACCAAATCTTTTCCTTTTTGGTGCATTCAGGGACAGCTTGGCATCTGAGACTCATCTGCTGGAATAAAACAACCAAACGCACATTTTCTTTTTCAAACATTTTTTACGTTAACGTTCCTGTTGACTTGTTGATTGTCTTCTGGGTTTGAGTCTCACTGTTGGAAGCTTTTTGTTTTTGGCAGGTGGCTATCAAATGTCGGATGTTATCGTGTCCTTGAATGCATCCCTGAAAGAGGCCTTTGTTTTCAACTGTATCACAACGTGAAAATTAACCATTAAAAGTAAACTAAACCTCTGACTGTGACGGGTTATCTCTCTGCAGGTTGATTTGTGATGGTAAGCAGGAATGTGATGATTCTCAGTAGAAAAGCTGAAGGATGGAAAACATGCTGTGTCACACAGCAGCGCCGCTGGACGCTCGGTGAAATGCTGTGAAAGGTCCGGAGACCTTCAATGTGTAGTTTCTCTTTTTTTTTTATGGGTTTCAAGTGGAATTTGGAGGAAATAAAAAAATCCCATCATAACCTGCGAGCTTTTTCAGACATTTCCTGACATCACATTCACACCTGGTGGTTCTGTGCATCTTCAGCATCGAGGTTAAATCCAGACTGAGAATAAAAGCACCCAAAAATTTGGTTGAATGTCTCCTGTCAACGACTGTTTATAATAAAGTACTGAAAACTGTCCAGTACTGAGTGCGTCTTATGCTTCTGTTACCACATTTAATATCTGACAACGTTCACTTCTTCTGTTCTGTAAAATGTACACACACATATATAAACACATATGTATGTATGTATGTATGTATGTAAACACACACACACACACACACACACGCATACATATGTACATATATGTATATTTTTTAGAAACGTGTTTATATTTATATTAATAAATAATTTTGGTATTCACACGCTGATGCAAAACTGAAATACTGTATCATGACTAGTATCAAACCTTTTCAACAACTTCCATGCAGACAATCAACAGACTCAGCCAAAATTTTCACCCTGAAATGGTTGAATGATTTTAGAATTTAAATTTCACAATGTGCACATCCAAATAACGCTCCAAAAACCAGAATAATGTCGACATATCCCACATGTCTTAGCGGAAAATGCTTAGGTTAGGTTAGGTTCAGTTCTTTAATGTCCCCATGGGGATAATTGTTCTCACACATCATCAGTCAGGTTCATTTGGAATAAGACCTAATTCAGAATATTCAAATGGAATATGCCATTTACGTGATCCCTATAAGATCTGGAATATGTAATATTCCGGATAATACTGGAATATCAGTGTGTGTGTGTGTGTGTGTGTGTGTGTGTGTGTGTGTGTGTGTGTGTAAATGTAGTCACTGTCAGATTAGATGGATTTCTGGCAGGTCAAAAATTTGTGTTGTGTTGTGTTTCTGCAGTTTGAGCTGATTAGTGATCTGATTTCCAACATGGCTGCTGTCAAAACATCCGCTAATAACTGTACTAAACTTACTGGACGAGATTTTATATGACAAAAACTGCTGTTAAAAACCTCAGTTCACGCGTATTCCGAATACACTGTATACATGTCCAAGAGACGCTCCTAAAAGCCGAATAATATCGGCCTATCCCAAGTGTCTTAAAGGGAAGATGCTACACTCTGAATAAGGCCTAATTTGGAATATCTAAATGGAACATGCTTCTGACATGACCCTTATCAAAATTTATGTTCATTTAATTTTCTTTTGACTGCTTTATGAAAAGAATTTGTCTATAATTTGGACCCGTGAGCAGTGTGAGCACTCATACACATTGGCAGCTTCAAACAGTCTGGTGTTAATGTGGATGAAATACATTAGGACACAATCTGGATTCAATCTGGAATCAAGTCACATGACCACCAGGAGTTATCAAGATGTCAGACACACACACACACACACACACACACACACACACACACAGGGGAGTGAATAAGCAGGAGTGTGTGTTGTGACAGGAATGTGTGAACACTCAGGTGAACAACAGCATCAGTGGCTACCTGCCCTCAGTGAAGTCTGACGAGACGACAACACCACGAAACTGCAGCGAACCTGAACGCATCACCACGCTGAGGTCACATGACTTCAACATGTAGCGTGTGTGTGTGTGTGTTTAATCTGCACCAGACTCTGAACTGTTCTGTCAATAACACCGATTCTGATCTCCTGATATCATGATTCATTTCACAATTCTTTGATATCAATGTTAACTTAATCACATGGCTACAAATTAAAATGTTTTACTCAGATAAAATAATATGAATCAGTATTTGAGACGTTGGGCTGCAATAAATTTTAAGTGTTAGCTGGCCACAAAATCAGGACGCTAAATTATTGATTAATTTTCAACACAAGCAGCTCGTGTGACGTGTCGTTAAAGGACTCCATCTCCAAGGACAGCTGCTCTCCTGCACTCTCTGCCCAGTTAGCATGAGCTAACACTGCACAACGTGATGTCATCACTGCTCATCATATTTTGTGTAGAGGTTAACATCCGAAGCTGAACTGTTAAGCTCACACTGACACTGAAACAGCTTGACTTTGTTGTTAAACCTGTTAATAACCATGATTTCACGTTAGCAATGTGATGCTAACCATTAGCTCTGTCACTTTGTGTGTGACTCAAGGTGCAGTGATTGGACAAGACTGCATGGCTGCGCAGAAATCACAAGGATTGGCTGAATTTGTGTTAATTCTTGGGGACCGTGACATCCAGGAGGGACTGAGGAAGTGTAAAAAGAAGATGTTACTTTGGTCTCCTGCTTTATATGGGTACTAAAAAGTTTAAATGCAAAACCATGTTTCTGTATGTAAAAAATTATCTGTTGGGTAACGAAGATTTTATCATGGAGACTATGATAAGTGAATTTAAAGACAGAACTCTCAGCCTGGTTTTGTCAGGCTGAACACAACAAGCATCTCTGAAGAGCTCATTATTAATTGGATGAAAGAATCCACTGATTCATTGGAACGTTGCCTTTGGTACATTTGGTATTTTTCAAACAGGACCCCGTCTTCCTGTGTTTTTTGTGACTAATGGGAACAACAGTTTTTTAAAACTGGTCCAGTACTGAGCAAGAGCAGTGAAACAGGCTGTTATGTTTCCACTCTGTTCACACCTCAGTGTTCGTCCACTAAAAGTGTTTGTTTTTGTCACTGACAGGCTCAGATTGTTGTTCTAAGTGTCTGACAACATTATGGAAAGGATCCTTACAGAGACAGAGCTTTGTGTTCAAGAGTAAGATCCTTTTCAATCAGCACAGAGAGCCCTAAAATCGCCATCACCTGTTCCTTAACAAAAAAGATCTATCTCTGTAGGGATCCTTTCCATAATGTTGTCAGACACTTAGAATAACAATCTGAGCCTGTCAGTGACAAAAACACTTCTAGTGGACATTTACAGACAGTGTGAAAATTTCGACTGTTACAGCTTTTTTTGCCACTGCTCTCACTCAATACTGGAACTATTTCACATATTGTTTTCTCCACGAATCACATAGAAACAGATTCCACGTTTAAGAGTAAAAAACTTAAACCTTTACTTTTGAATTCTGAAAATGATCAAAGACCATTCAGTGTTTGTTTAAATGTTTCCAACTGTGGACTGAAGGTAAAAATGAGTATTTGTTTTGTTGACGTCATGAGTTGAATTTATTTAGTGAAACAGAGGAAATGTGTTTTTGTGATTTGGGTGAACTGACCCTTTAAATCTGCTCTTTGAGATAAGAGTGTCTAGTGTCTGTGATGCGGTGCAGGACCATGTGACGGACACAGCGATGACATGTCAGGTTGGGGCTGCAGTGCGGTGACGGCCTCGTCAGACTGTAGTGTGTTGCAGAGACTCAGCAGCTGTGTGTTGGAAGACACCTGGACACTGAGACGCGCCTGGACTGTCTGAGTGGGACAACGCTGCATCTGGGCTTCAGGTACCTCAACAATGGCTTGTTGGAGTGTAAGCATGATGGACGCAGAGGTCATGAGGGTAACTGAAGGTCAGATGCAGGTTGGCGACCAGAGTTAACGCCCACTTTAACTTTCCAACACGTTAAAAAGCAGCCAGGAGGATTCCACAGCGCTGAGTCTTTACCGCGGCAGTCACATCATCACTGTCGTCCTCAATCAGCTTTGTTTACCCCAGCTCATCCAATGAGAGAAGGTGTTGTTCCTGAGAGCCTTGCTGATTGGTGGCAAGGAGGCGCGGAGTGTTGAGACGATGGTGGTCCAGGAAGAGGGGGGCGGGGCTTCAGATCAATTGAAAATAAAACTAAAAAACTGAAACAGCCTTCCATTTACAAACGCGTCAGTTTTCTTCTATTAAGTTCAAGTCGAGTTCTGTACAATCCCTCTCAAACACCGCCTGCTGCGCTGCCTCGCGCTCCTCGGCTTCCTCCTCGCCGTCGTCCTCGTCGTCGTCCTCGCGGCACTCCTCGTCACTCTCGCTCAGCGGCCCGATGCTGGTCCTGCCCAGGCACTCGGCCGGCGAGCAGGAGCCCCGGAAGTCACCCATGAAGGCCTCCATGCCCATGCTAATGTCACCGCCGCAGGCCAGCCTGCTGCCGCCGCGCTCCAGACACTGCGGGTCGATGCTGCGGGTCTGCGGGAGCGACAAAAGAAACGTCAACAAGTCTGAAAACTACAGCTGAACATTACAGATTAATACCAAGTCAGCAATGTTCAGAATAAACGACTAAAATTAAAAAGAGCTGATGAGACGTGCTGATTATTTTCCAGCAGTACCTGAGTCATTTTGGTGAAGTCGAGGACGGGTCGGGCACAGGGTCTGTCGGGGTCGCGGCGTCTCTTCAGACCTGGTTTGAGGAGCAGCAAGTCGCAGGGCTGCGAGTGGCAACGAGGCAGCTGCGGCGGCAGACTGCGTCGCAGAGATGACGGTGTGCTGCAGGCCGAGGAGGGCGAGGCGGGTACCGGACCCCCCACGGACGCTCCGGCCACGGCCGAGCAGCTCGGTGGACGCGCCGCTGCTTGGCTCGGCACGGGAGGTGGAGGCAGGAACGTGGAGGCCGCCGAGTCTCTGATGAGCACAGGGGAGAGGGAGAAACGCCTCTGAGGAGGGGGAGGAGGGTGGAGAGGAGAGGGCGAGGAGGAGCAGGAGGAGGGGGAAGGGAAGAAGCAGCAGCAGGCTCCTCCCCCCGCCGCCGCCTCGCTGGGGTCCCAGGGGAAGCTCCAAGGCAGCGGGGAGTCCGGAGACAGCGCCAGGCTGAAGAAGGTGGGGCTGGATGAGGAGTGCAGCGACGAGTTCAGAGAGGAGCTGGGAGCGCGGAGAGGACAAGCTCCTCCCCCCGCTGCACCTACCCCTATACCCCCTCCTCCCGCCCCTGCGCCCCCACCTGTGACTCCTCCCCCTGCTCCCCCATGGCACTGCTGGCGACTGACAGGAGTCCACACCCGCGAGGCGCTGGGCCGCCAGGTATAGCGGCAGCGCGACAGGTCCTCAGGCACCGACAGTGAACGGCAGTGCCGTTTAGGTGGCGGAGGAGGAGGTGGAGGAGGCCCGGGGCCGGGAGGCGCCACCGGCGCTCCGGGGAGGGAAAGCTCAGATGCTGAGGTGCTGGGCGCCAGGGGCCGGTGCTGCTGCGGCTGAGAGGGGGTGCCGTCCAGGGGGTCGCCCCCCTCCTGCAGATGAGCATCTGGGGGCACCAGGGGCACGGGGCCAGGGGGGAAACTAGAGCTCAGTAACCCCCCCTGCAGGCCGGACTTGGAGGGAGGGCAGAGCTGCCAGTAGCTGCTCTCTGAGAGGACACACACACACACACACACACAGACACACACAGGTCATGTGACTACATCACTGATACGAATGCATGACTTCTGTTTTCTTCACTACTGAGTTGCATCATGGGAAACAAAGGGTCCAGTGTCAGAGACTGGGGCTGCTTTCACACCTGACCTGTTTGGTTCAGTTAAAACAAACTCAGGTCTGTTTGCGCGGTCAGAAGGTTTGCTTAGGCCGGAGTGAAAGCTGTCAGTTGAACCCTGGTGCAGACCGAACAACCGAACAGAGATGCCCGTACAGGTGTGTCTCAGTCCGCTTCAACACAGACTCTGGTACGGTTCATTTGTGGTGTGCAAAAAACACAAACCAACCACAGGACTTTATGATAGATCTGTGATTTTAGCAACAGTGACACCAACAATAAATCCATCTGCTGATGATGAAATCGTCCACGATCTCATAACTGATCCTGATAAAGATCATGTGCAACAGGGTCTATTAATGAGCTGTAGTATGAGTGACAAGTCAAATATACATTTGTAATATTAAGTGTTATAATTACACAAAATATATCAATATCCGGAACATCTGATACTCAGTTCCTGTACCCCTACATTCACCTTTGGGGGTGCCCCACCTATAAAAGGGGTGTCTCCTGCCTTACCTCTCCCCTTTTGCTGTTGTGCTCTGTGGGAGAGGTAAGCGACATTACTCTTGTGGTAATTTCTGTGTTTTAGTGCTGTTAAGCTGTTTATAAATTCATTTTATGCCAACATAATCTCGTGTCGCTTAATTTGTGTCAGGGATCAAGTTTGTATGGATGTGTGTGATGGAGGATTTCAGAAATATACGGAGCTTGCCTCCAAAGATATCCACAGTCTGGGCCTCTTCATATCGACACAACACAGACATCACTAGAGTCCACCAGGTACACAAGTATGTCCCATAACCTATTCATGTTAATGCATACATGGCACACATATGCAGGTCAGTGAAGGTATTTTCCTGATTAAAAAGCTGTTCAAACTGTCATCACTGCATCCGACTCCGTGTACTTTAGGGTCGGGTATCATTTGAATTTTATCGATTCTCAGTCTAATTCTGATTCTGCTTATTGACTTTGGTTCTAATGTTGCGTTCACAGCAAACATGATGTGAATGCCAGACTATTTTGTGTTGACACATGTCATACGTGTGTGAAATTGCTATATCGATGAATGAAATTCCCCTGGTACATCCTTGGTGTAATACGATCCCTGAGGATCATCTTCAGTAGCTAAAGCTCAGATTTTTCAACTCTCGCGAATATAGCGCAAAATCACTCTACTCACGTAATTTGCCAGTGAAAGATGCCAAGAGAAAGATCTCCTCACGTGATGTATGTCATCCTGATGATGCAGGATGACATAACACCTAATGTGTCCAATCAGTGAGTTACCTGTCAGTAGGCAGAGCTTCATGTTTACTCCTCTTGATTCATTTATCAGTGTGAACAGGAACAGAACCAAAACTAAAATGCAACAATGGATTATTTTTTCCCTCTGGTGCGACCAAATGAACCGAACTACAGGAGTGAAAGCATCCTAAGGCTGCTCTCAGACCTAGAGTCGTCACCTTGGGTCTGAATCAGGGACTAATTTTGTCACAAAGTTGTATAATTGCCTAGAGTTGGTTCATGTTCTCACAGCAGCATTTACAAGCGGACCAGATCAAAGCCTTGCGTGAGAAAGCTGCTCTTGATTGGTCAGAATTTCCATGTGTGAAAAATCCAGGAAGTAAACCAAACGTTGAAGAAGAGTACACTTGCAAGATAAATGTGACACTTTCTAATGTCACAATGGAGGGGCAACTACGCAGGTTGATTTTAGCGCTGCTCATCGTGGACTATATTGCTGTCATTGTTCATTTTAGTCAAACCATACAGTTTGAAAACGAGGCGCGGCTCCAACTAGAAAACAATGTTTTGATGCATTGGATGTGCTGAATGTGCATATTAAGGCAGTAC